CAATCTGCTTGATTTTCTTTTTGTTTTGACTCCAAGGAAGAAATACTCTTGTCTCATATGGAAAACTACTGATCTTCACCTAGGATTTGTGCTACCTGTAGGTTTGTTCTGGTAAAGCATTTACTTAATTTCAAACTTTTGAGTTTATATATTGAATGTATTTACCTGTATTTGCATGTGTGCTTTTTAAGTAAGGTTGCTAGGGTTTATATTGATGGAGGAGATAGTGTATAGCAAATGAGGATGTTAAATTTAAAATACTGTCACCCCCCACCACCACAAGCATGTGCTTCCCATGGCTCTGTGCTGCATTTCTGGTTTGTGGATAGTATGTTCTTGCAGCATCAACCTATACACAAATTACTCCAGTTTGAGATTATTATAAATTCTTTTGCTCTTAATACCTGTTGGTTTTCTATGTAAACATAAGTGAATGTGACCTTTTAAATCACTTCTGAGAACAAGACTTGTATTCATGTTTTTGAAGCTGTGTAAGTACTTCTAGAAAATCATTCATTGCTCTTTTATTGAGAGACTTCGTTACGTTGTAAGAAGGTGCTTTGTTGATACAGGGTTTAGGAGCTATGTAGTGAGCTAGAAGGTACAGAACAGTCCTTGGTCAGTGCTAAATCCATCTCTTATCTGCCTGTTAAAACTTTGATTTTTGGTATGGAGAGTGGCAGAGTTTCTATGATGGAAGAGGTGTCTGTGATGTGTGGGAGTGTTGGTTGGAAGGGACTTCTGAGGCTCATCAGTCCAGGCTCCTGCTCCAGAGCAGGTTTATTAATAACACTGTCTTACCAGCTGTGACATAGTCTGTGGAGTCTTGTAAACCTCTAAGAACAGAGGTTATCAGCTTTCTTAGTAAGGCATCCAGCCATCTTGCAGATGTTTCTGATGTCCAGTCTGAACCTCCCAGGCTGTTCCTTGTGATACCCAGAGGAGTTTGCCTCCATGGTTTTTGTAGTGCACCTGCAGCTTCAGTTATTACTTGATTATTTTTAGGCTGCCTCTCTGTCAGGCTGAACAAACCCAGCTCCATCACCTGCTTCTCATCCTCAAGGCTCCAGGCTGTTTCCTGATTCTTAGCAGGCTCTCAAATTCCTTTTCAACCTGGGTGGCTTGAAATGGAACACTATTTGAGCTTCAGCCTCACCAGCATTGAGTTTCCTTTGATTGCACTCCTTGGCTTTCCCTGTTTGCAGTGAGAGCTGACTCTTGGCTCACACTCAGCCTGGCAACCAGTTTGATCTCCAGATCTATCTCAGTAAGGATGTTGTTCAACCGGTTTGATCCCAGGCTCCATTAATGCATCCCAGGAGCAGAATTTTTCACTTCATGAGGTTCCTGTTGGCTTATTCCTTGTGTTTATCAAGGTCCACCCGAGTTGTCAGTCTCTTTTCCTTGTTTAGTATCATCCACAAATTTTCTTAGGATTAATTTTTATCTTATGCTCAGGTTGTTGATGAAGATCCTGTATAATATTAGTCACAGTATCAGCCTTTGTGGTGCTTCTTACCCACTACCAGCTGGATGCTGAGTCATTGAATACTGCCCTTTAAGTTCGGTGGTCCCTGTTGCCACCCAGTCTGACAGGCCATTTCTCCAACCCATGTCTTCCCCACTTAGTAGTGAGACTCCTGTGGGAAACTGGATCAGCCCTAATCACTAAAAACAGGACTGTGATTTCATTTATTTCTGGTAGGTATATCAAGCAAATGTTTGAAGTGTTCGTAACCAAAGCTAGCTTTGTGTTTGTAAATTCTCACAGGTAAAATGGAGTTCACATGTACTTCAGTATTCCAAGATCAGACTGATTACTTCAAGGGACTTCTGGTGCTGTGAAATGTGGTCTCAGTAAAATAAAATGTGACATTTAGAAGCTCCATAGAGAGTCCTTTCTCCTTTATTTAGTGGAAATACCTGACCTTTTTGTATGTGGGTAAAGCTTGTACATTTAGAATGTACATATTTAAAATAGTTAGGGTTCTTTGTTTCAAGTATGTTTTACTATGAAGTCCTAGCAGCTTCACTTCTAGAAATACTGCATTTAAATCCTTTCATGTCAAAACACTGGAATAAGCACTGTTGAATAGTCATTTCTAGTGGCTAAACATAATGCTATGAGCCTTGCATTGTTTTACACACTTGTAAAACCTCTTCTCAGAACAGCTTAAGACATTTCCTGTTTGTAGTTGCGTGGGTTTACTTTAGTTTTTCGCATTATGGTGCTATAAAACTATATCTGGAGTTATTGCTCAGCAATCAGATAGTCCATTCCGAACCTGAAAATAAGAGAATAACCATAATTTCATCTTTCAGTCAACATACGGAGGAGTCAGGAACTTAATATTGAATCTGTTTCTGGAATGGTTTGTAAACCTGCAATCTCCATTTCAGTTTTGAAACACAGAGTCAATTTTCCACAATTTCGGGTGGCAAGGCAATAATGTAGACAGTAATGGTTTTGATACATATCATGGATCTGCCTGACTGGATACAGCATTTTCATATAGTATGTCAACCAGAGACCAGTAGCACAGATCTGTGATCACACTGAATTTCCAGTTGTTTTAAGAAATTGGACAACTTTGTGAAGTGAAAGAAGAAAAAATACAGGCTTGGTGTTATGGAGGTAGCACTTGAAAATGAGACTGGTGGCTCTAAAACTTGAATGTAATCCAAAGGAAAACTAAACTATTTTATGTTATTTTATTTTTTTAAAGCCATTTAACTGATTCCTGAATATCTGGGGTTCAGTACTGTGTTTAAAAAAGAGATGCTTTTTTTTCCACTTGGAAAACAGAGCAGATCTCGATTCTGTATGTGATTGTTCCTACCAGAAAAGCTTTTTGTGCCGGGGGGTCATGGTAATAATTTTTAGTGTCATGTGACTAATTTCATGCACATATCATCAGATTAATATAAGATGAGTAACAGCAGCAAGAAGGAACTGGTACCCTACAGCTCTCGCACTGTGTTCATCCAGTAGGTGTTACAGGCACAGATTTTGTCTCTTCTTTTAATTCCAGTATTTTAAGAATAAAACTAGTTTCATCTAATTTTTTTGGACCTCTTATGAGATGAGCAAAGAACTGAACAAATACATGTTTTGGTATCCTAGAGATAAATTAGTGAGAAGTAAAGATTTACATTCCGCTCAGACAGAAGAGTATTGGTGAAAATTATTAGAAGCAAAGTTTCATCTGCCCTTTGTGACATAAACTGAAATTCGACATTGCCTTTGAGTTTTTTTATAACAGTTTGAAGAGCTGCATAGTGGCAATGCAAGTTCAGTGCTTAGAAGCTGATGCAGAGCATAGGATGTCAGTCAGCATTTTTTGATGGGAAGTTGGTTTAGGGGATTTCTTTTGTTGCTTGCTTGTTTTTGGTGCTTACGTGGAAAAATAAATCTTGACAGTGAAATGAGACAATGGAATAAAGTGGGTGGGCATAGATAGGAACAGGCAAGTCTTGCATAATAACTGTCTGCTTAGCAAGGCTAATTTTTCATGTACTAACATCAGAAAGTTTATAACCTTGTGCAAAATGGATTCAGAAAATGTGTATGTCAGAGCCAAGGTGCTTTGTTTTGGTTTTTTTCTTCATCCTCTGTAATTTTAATTCATGACACTTAGGCCTGTTGTTTTGGTTTTAAATAAACATGATAATTAAGGCTTTTTATTTAAGAGAAACAAAGACAATCGTGAAATAATCCCAAAACTCTGCCGGTATTGAACACTTCCTTTGAATTCTGGTTTGATTTTGTTTTTTTTTTTTTTTGTCTCTTCATGTATTGAGAGAAGTGTAGGTATGACAAATATCCTGCTTTTGTTCTTGCAGATCCTTTAATTTCTTGTGCGGATTACTAGCTTTGGTAACAAGTTTTTCGAGATGTGTTGCTGTGTGAACACACCAAAAAAACTCATCCCCTGGGTTTTGATCTTGATGATCATCTCAACTTTTTTTACTAGCTTTCTTGATGTTATCCTAGATTGCCATGTTTTAAAAGCAGCATTGCATACTTCAGTCTTCTAAAATGTAGTTAAACTGAAAAATATGTGGATGTATTTGGCATTAAAACCAACAAAAAAGCCCATCTGGAGGTTAAGAATACTGAAATGATAAGTTGGAAGTCACCTGTTTTTTTTAATCCCCTCCCCCACCTCTAGGTAAGCAGTAAAATGTCATGAGATATGCCTTGTTTGAATGGAAACCAGTGAACAGGTACAAGTGCTTGCTCTACATCTGTTGCCAAATAAAGCCAAGTAGTTGGACTGGACTAAGCACTTACTGTTCTATTGGGTTTGGGTTTTTTTTTTTTAATAATGATGCAACTTCTGGATATTTTTGGCAAGGTCAGAGTTCCAAAAAGTTAAAGCTTGCATATTGAATTGGTGTCATTTAACAGAGAGTGTAGTGAGTGATGTGTTACACATAGGGCTGTTTCAAACCAGAGAGTATACTGGACATCTGGGTTGGCTCTGTCTGCTGCTTCACTCCTGCTGTACTCATTACAGATTTCTCTTCAGCTTTTCATGTTGGATTTTTGTTTGTTTGTTTGTTTGTTTTTTGTTGGTTTGGTTTGGGGTTTTTGTTTTTGGTTTTGGTTTTTTTTCTATATTTTTTGGCATGGAAACAGGAAAGGCTGGAGCTTCCTGCCCATATAAACAATAAATCCCAGTGAACTCACAGCAACCAATTATGCCTGCCTTCCCTGAATACCATCTTTAAAAGGAAGGAAACAGCTTAAGTATTTTGTGTATTGAAATAGCATTGGCTTAATAGTAGAACTATTTTCATGAAGAAATATGTAGCAGAGACAGGACACCTTTATTATTTTCCTGTATGAAGTTCTTGTTTAGGGTTGTGCTTCTTCTCTTTGCAATGGAAAGAAAAATTGTACCTTTCTACTTACAATTTTAATATAAAGAATTGTATCTGTGTATAGGAGCCTCTTTTAATACACAGACTAACTTTGTGTTTTCTCTTCCCTGCAGCTGGTGAGCCTGCTGCTGATTGGAATTGCAGCATGGGGAATTGGCTTTGGCCTCATCTCTAGTTTCCGAGTTGTTGGAGTGGTAATTGCCGTAGGAGTCTTCCTCTTCTTTATTGCCTTAGTCGGATTGATCGGTGCGGTGAAACATCATCAAGTATTGCTGTTCTTTGTATCCTTCTGATGCATTGCATTGATTGCAGCTTGGCTCAAGCCATGTAAACAACCTGCTTGGTCAGCTGAGACTGATGGGGAACAGGCTTCAGAAACAGCAGAAATTCACAGTCTTACTTTGGTCAAGTACAGTCTAAATTAGACTTCCTTCCTGTTTAACTTTATTTCAGCTTCCTTTTTTTCTCCCTTGTCTGTGCTCTGAAGATAGCATTCACATATTGTAGTTTTTGACAGCTTTTCATGGTGGCTTACTGTGTCACAGGTGCCTGTCTGTGTGCTCAGTCCTACACAGAGCTCAAGTATGTGAACTGTTAATGTTTAACGTTTGCGGTCTATGATAAAGTACTGACCTCCACTTTACAGACAGCTTAATTGTGTGAGGTGTCTGCCTCTGAGCACAGCAGCCAAATTGTGAAGGTGATCCCCAACTTTCAAAGTGTGATCTTGAATATCAAAGTTTATTCTTTTTGTTTTATATTGCTTTCAGATGCAATAGTACAAAAGTGTGTGAGGCTGTGTTCCAAGAGCAACTCTTAACTTTTTTTTTTTTGTTAATCTAGGCTAAAGTTACTTTTTGTAATTAATTACAAGACTATGTAATTGGAAAGAAATGTTCTGAACATGTGATAACAGAAAAATATTTTCATTACTCCTTTATTTAAGTGAAATATTTTGAAATGACAACACAAGTCTCTAAAACTGGAGAAACTGGCTGTAGATTTTCCTCTCAAAGCTCGTCTTATTAACCTCTCTGCTTATGTTTTCATGCTAGGCAAGAAATACCTAACCCAGCAATACCAGCTATGTATAGTAGTAGGCAAAAAGAGATAATATATGGTGATTGAGTTCTGGGAACATTATTTGGGTCATCTTTTCCACATTCAGTCAGAATTTGCTTCTATAGTTTTTTTGTGTCAAAAGACTTACCAGTGAAATACTGAATACCATTAGGTGTATATGTTATAAAAGCAAAATTAATTTGAGAGTATATCTTTAACTACTGTTTCCAGTACATGATTATTCTTCTGCTAGTCTTTATTGTCCAGTTCTCTGTCTCCTGTGCCTGTTTGGCACTAAACAAGGACCAGCAGGTAAGAAAAGTTTATCTATAGCATAATACTATAAACATATATGTACACAGGCACACGTATTTGTATATAGTCTTTCACAAAATGGGGAGAGCGTATTTTAAGAAAATCAGCATTATCCTATTACTTAAAGACCAGACTTTGGTCAGTGCTTGGCTCTGGTACCTAGAAAGAAATACTTTTGGGTCCTAAAAGGACTTTCAGATGTTGGTTTGGGTTTGTAGTTGTTTTTTTTTTTAATTGATTTCATTTTAAGCTTCTTTTCTAGGTTTATGGTCACAGGTATAGCAGCATGGTGTCTTGAATATATCATGTGTTCAGCATTTTAAGATAAGCTGATGAAATCTACAATAATTATGATGAAAAGGTGATAAAGCCACTGAATTCTTCTTGTGTAACTGAAAAGGTTGTAACTGCATTAGGAACAGAGGTGTATGAGAGTAAAACAGTCTTCTTTGTGGTATGAGACTTACTGCATAAGGAGGGGACAAGTGTACAGTGACTGAATAATCAGCTTTTACATGTAAGCACACTTTTTGTTTAAAGCCTGAGCAGTCCCAGTTAGATTCGTTGCATGTCCCATTACTAGTGCTCTTTTTGGGTTTAGGAAAAACAAAGAAAAAAAATTAATTATACCCAAGAATGTGCTGCTGTTAGGTGCTGTTATTTCATTAGCTACACAGGCTGTCTGGACACTCAGGTAATTTTTTGATATATTATCCTGTTAAGCATCAATATCTGAAGGTTTTAATTAGGGCATTATCAACTTGGCCTCGTTGGTTTGCAATGGAGAACAGTTCAACTAATATAATATGTATTTGCTTATGCCTTCTAGAGTGAACTTCTAGAGGTGGGATGGAATAACACCAAGAGTGCAAGAATAGATATTGAGAGAAATCTGAATTGCTGTGGATTTAGAGCTTTTCATCCGAATGAATCCTGCACAGCTGTAAGTTCTTAAAGCGTGAAAAAAGTAACATTTTCATGCTGTGTTCGTTCAAAAACGTACAACTGTTTTCATGGTTACAGACAGCAGCGTTTTAACAAATGTGTACAGTAGTTGTTATAGTGATACTGAGCTCTTCTAGTAACCTACTGGAAAGACAATCACAGAGCACCCTGCAAAGGTTGCTTGCTGGTTTGGAGCCTTTTAAAACCGCTAGTTTGTCCATGGCTAGCAGTCTTTTCTAGAGCAAACTAGATGCTTTCAGTCAATGAAGGATCATCAGAAAATGGAGTGAAGTTCTCTGTATCTGCTACAGGATTGTTTCAGAACTCGCCAGTGTAAACCATGTGCGCCGATAATAGAGGAATATTCTGGAATGGTGCTGAGATTTGTTGGAGGCATAGGACTTTTCTTCAGTTTCACAGAGGTGAGTAGGAGGTTAGAAAATGGAGTGCTTTTCCCCCACTTTTAAGGGTTTGTTTTGTGAAACACTTAATTTTAGGGAATTTATTACAGGAAATTTCAGTAATATCTCAGGAGTCAAATAATTAATTAGGTCAAATTTTTCAAGGCTATCAGCTTGCTTAAGTCTGCCAAAAGGAAGGTTTGTCTTTATTCAGCACTAGATGCTCTTGCAACTCTGTTATTTAGGCAACAAACTGTTCAAATGTGGTGCTGTAAAGTTTTAAGTTTTTCAGAAAGTTAATTATTCTGGCTTCCTATTTTCCAACAGTGATAAAAAGAGTGACGTTGCGCTACCTTGTTCCCTCTTCTTCCCACCTACTCCCCTCTCATGCAGATGCACGGTCTTTGAGGATATTTTTTTTTGTGCCACCTGCAGTGCAAAGATAGAGTTGCAGGATAGTAAATTGAAACAGCAGGTTAAAATAAAAAAGGTCTTTGATTCTTTGCTTTAGTACCATGATGATACATAACGTTTTTTGATTACTATGTAAAAATCCTCAGAGGATGTCTTTTATGACCCCATAGTAGAGCATGTGAAAATACTCCTGCTGCTGCATAGTGCAGTTTTTAGAAGGTTTGTAGATACTAAAGCAACAAGAGAGACACAGCAGCTTACGCAGAATCACTCTGATATCAGCCCTTAATTTCTCTACTAAAAATGTGAAGCTGCTGGGAAGGAGGGATGTGGTTGGGGCAATGTCAAGATTTGAAAATACGTGAGGAAAAATAACTTAAGTGGTAACTGCAAAATGAAACAGTTTGGAGGATTTGTTTATCATTATACTAAAAATAGGTTTGTGAATACTTACCATTTGGGGAAGGAGACGAATAATTTAACTCTAGACATAACTACGGGTAATATCTTGTGTTGCATTGTGGATACAGTGTTGGCTTTTTTTTGTTGTTCTCTCTGTTGCCATGAATGAATTTTTTCCAAGAAGGTGCTTTCTTGTTTCTAATTGAGAAAGCTGGTGTGTGGCTGTACAGTTTTAGCAGCAGTAAAATATCCTAAGTTTGTGTTTAAAACAGATTTTTTAAAACTGATAGAAAATGAGTTGGAGACCCTCTGCTTAATGATATCTTTGGTTTTTATTTTCAGATTCTGGGAGTCTGGCTGACATACAGATACAGGAACCAAAAGGATCCCCGTGCAAATCCTAGTGCATTTCTTTGATAAGCTTATAAAGGACTGAATCTTCTCTCTGCACCCTCTACTTAAAAATACTGATTCTCCATGGTTTGGTATTTCCCCATAATAGGTATTCTACATGTACCCAAAATAAAATTTAATTTCCATAAGAAATGTGTAGTTTTCATATTTAATTTTCACTATTTTTCTTCTAAGAATCTCTATCTTAAAGTAGATGGGTGCATTCAGTAGCTGGGCAGAGTTGAACTGCTGGTTAAATAACTCTGTTGAGACTTTGTTAATTGATACAGTGAACTCTATACAGTGAGTTTTATAGCACTACTGGCTTATCTGGTGTCAAAAAACCCCAGAAGTATTTTCTGCTGTATTCACTGATTACAAAAATTCACGTGAATTCTCATTAAAATGATAAAAATGTACGGTGGCTGGTTGGGTATGATTTGCCTAGGTTTTAGGATGCACTCTAGTAAACTTTTTTGTCTCACATTTTCCTGTTAAGGTAAAAATAGAAGCTAAAGATGTTATTTTCTGTAGTGCACATAAGTGTATGTTAATGACTACTGTAGTCTTCACCCCTCCCCTTCCCTGTTTGTTTTGGCTTTCTGTAGCTTTAGAATTTTGTTGAGAATAAAAATAATTTTAATGGATATTGTCACTACAAGAACAATGAATGAAGAAAACCAGGAGAATGTAATCTGCAGCTGATTAACTTGAAACTTTTTTTTCTTTGACAAGTGAATGAAGTCTGGTATTTGCACAATCAATGTTGGAATCAATGTCTGTCATCTCTGATGTAAGAAACTTGATGTCTGGAAAGTTGTTGTACAGTTACTTTTTTTTAGATGGTGTAAAATTATTGTTGTAATAACTCAGCAGTGTATATTTCTCTGTCATCCAGATAACAGTCTTGATTTCATGAGAGATTGAATGATGTGTAAAAAAAGAAAGAACAAACAAAAAAAATGGTTTCCAGTAGTTTGTTTTCTAATAACAAAGAAAAGAATTCAAGTTAGAACAGTGTGTTATCCATGTAGTAAGTATGGCCTGATGTGAAGGAAAGCATGATCCCTCTTCCTGCCTGTACCCGAAATGTTGCATCAACTGGAAACAGCAGCCATCTAAGCACCCGAGGTGCATAATGTTCCATTTGTTTCCAGTCACACTGAACTACAGAGGTGCACTCCACCTTCATTTAGTTGCTGCTTCTGGTGTGGTAGGCAGCTGCTGTAGCCTGATAGACGGCTCTGCAGGAAGAAAACGGGAAGAGTATTAAGGCCCTCTGCCAAGGAATACAGCACCTGAGCGAGGTGGTAAGGAAGTCAGTGAGGGCAGTCACAAATAGGTTCTTACAGTCTCTCTTTAGAGGGAGATGCCTTCTTATCCATCAGAGGAGGCAAAATGAAATCGAAATACATGCCCAACAGAGCACTTTCAGACTTCCCCAGGCCGAGTGCTCCTGAAGAAGGAATTACCTCTGAGGTTTTGAAGGGCAAGAGTGCAACCTGAATACAGAGGGATGTCAGGAACTTGCTAGAACTGCTTCTCTTCAAGTGTAGCTGGTTCAACATCAACAGCGCCACCTCCTGGTGCTGCTCTGAGTTCCTGCAATGCCTGTCCAGCTGTTACCTGGCTTGAGCACATACTTGCTCATTCAGGGTAAGAGCTCTTGAGCTGAAAGACCTTAAGAGCCTTCAGACTTACTAAAGTGTAGCATAAATGTATGCAGTGCTCTTTTTCCTCCCCAGTTACTGTCCTTTTTAAACAACCAGCTGTTGTCAGTATGTGTCAAGAGGACAGTGATGATCTTGTGGCTGTGTTTAGGAACAGTTCATTTTCCTGGTCGAGACAGGCTGTGTATTTTGTACATTGCGGTAAAAAATTCAAGGAAGAGTCATAGGGAGAAGGTTAATGGAGATTAAAATAATACCATATTGCTGCTTCAGTTTTCACTTTTTTCCTGATTATTTGGTTAGTGCTTAGTTTTGGGTGGGTCTGGTATCATAAATATGGTAGGTGATATTGGAATGCAAATGTGCTCAATGCAAAAATACTGAAAATGCTACCACTTCAGAAGTTCTCGTGTCTCATAACAATGTGAATTTGTTTTAGTGGTCAAAAGACAGATCAGTGAATCGTATGATTTGATTAAAATTTTTCTATCATAATAATAATACTTTGTCTCTTCAGGATTGTGATTAAAAAATGCCCAAAAGCGACCCATACAAACCTTGACATTTCCATTAGAGGGGTGGATTTGCTTTCTGAACCTGATTCTGAAGGGGGGCATTAAAACTCTCCAAGTCTGACTTTGGTTTCGGGAGGGAAGAGGGTAGCCTCTCAGGGGAGGACTGACTCATGAGTGAGTATACCAGAAATGCTGTACTGTTCTGACATGCCAAAATAGAGCACTTAAAAATAATTTATACCTATTTGTGATACCTTTTGTCGTTGAAGTTTTCTTTGTTCATTGCTTTCTCTTTTTGAAAAAAGAGTCTTTGCCATATAAAGATTTTTTGTTGTTGTCGTTCATTTTCTAGAGAGGCATTTGTAACCAGATTTTCTAGAAGCTATTTACAGGAGCAGAGTATACAAATATTGGAGTGATTTAACTTGGGGCATACATTTTGCTTACATTAGATGTCTTTTGACCCTAGTTGTGTTGAAATGCTCCTAAAGTTTGTTATTTTGGAAAAAGTAGAAAGATATATTGATTTCCTCCAAAACACACATTTTTATCATATTAGAAAAACTGGCTGTAAAATAATAAAATCTAATTCTTCTGCATCTGTATGAGAAAGTGAATACAGATCTTAACTAACATACTGATATTACTGTATACTATTTGTCTCCTTTCATATGAAGGTAACTATTACAAAAGGAAAAGCTTGTATAACTTGAAGTGATACCTGTAAAAATATACCTTAAAAGCTATAAGTAAGGTGAAAAGCAAACTATAAAAGCATAGCCTTGAGTGCAAAAAAATCACTTGTTTCAAAAACTAATTTCTTGGTACTTGTAGGCTGAACTAGTTTGGATATTTGCAGCTATAGTGTGTAGACAGAATAGTAGACCCTTGTAGGTTATGCCTTACATCCATTCACTGGATGTTATCCGTAGGATCAGTGCATCTGCTTAACAGACTTAATCAAAACAGACTTGTAAAACATGATGGCACGGGCAGCTTTTGTTTTAGGTCAGATACAGAGCTCTAGCAAGTGTACTTGGGATTGAGTAGGTAAAGATGATTCTGTTAACCAGTTGCTCCAATCTCCCTCTGTGCTGTCCCTCTGCTAAGTGATGTGACCACTTTCTTTGCTCTTTGTCACTGATAGCTGCTTCTGTGGAGTATTTCTGCCCATCATTGCATCTCTTTTTCCTCTGTCTTCTGGATGCTGCAATAGAAAGGAACATCTTACTGAACCACTGAAGGAATACTGAATTGCATGTCCAGAACAATTGAGATTTTGTGGTTGGTAGGGTTCACATAGCTTGCCAAAACATATTAGCAAGTACCTTCCTTCTCATTTTACTGAAATTCCCTTGAGCTGAAATTCTTGCTTCTCTTACGTGTCCTGCCTTCCCCAGTGTTTTCCTCTCTTGTAGTTCTCACCATGACTGGTAGTGACAGTAATGGTAATAGTAGTGATAAGAGTGCTGTCATTGCCCAAGAGCTGAGAAGATAATGAAGGTACAGTCCTGGGCAAAGCTTTTCTCACTCATGGTGCTGCTGAGTTCTTAGGCAGAAAGGAGACTTTCCATCCCCTTAAGTCTTAAGGTGGTGTGTACTCTCATGGTGTTCATCTGCAGAGTTAATTTTAGTTCAGACTTCTCTTGTCCCTTTTGGGCTTGTAAATAAGCAGTCACAAGCTGTAACAGTCATGAAACCAAGCACATACTCAATACAGCATCACTTTATTAATCATCTCAAGGCTTTACTGAAATCTGATGTAAGCAGGGACCTTTTAAGGGAAGCAGTTTTATCTTAAATTACTTCAGAATGCAGACGGCTTCTTAAAAAAAAGAAATAAAACCCTCCATGCAAACAACCCCATCCTCTAGTCTCAAGTACTTTTCTGGGAAAGGTTTGCACTTCTCGTTATCTTAATTGTAAAGGAAGGGCCGATAACAAAAGCTCTACATAGGCTGGTGCTACAAGAAAATAAATGGAGATAAAGCAGAATGAGCAATACAGAGCTTAGCTAGCTGCTGAAACGAGATAAAAAGCTGCTCTCCTCTGCTGGGTTTGGCTGGGTAGAGTTAATTCTCTTCACAGTAGCTTGTATGATGCTGTGCTTTGGATTTGTGACCAAAACAATGCTGATAATGAGGTGGTTTTCTGTGATTGCTGACTCTGACATGGAGACAAGGTCTTTGCTGCTTCTCACACTGCCCTATCAGCAAGCAGCCTGGGGCTGCAGGAGGAGGTGGGAGGGGACACAGCTGAGACAGCTGACCAAAAGGATATTTCATACCATATGGTGCCATGCTCAACATATAAACTAGGGGAAGAAGCAGGAGGGAGGGGGACATTTGGAGTGATGGTTTTTGCTTTCCCAAGTAACCATTCCATGTGCCGTGGCCCTGCTTTCCCGAGGATGTCTGAACACCTGCCTGCCCATGGGGAAGCAGTGAATTAATCCCGTGTTTTGCTCTGCTTGTGCGCACATATTTTGCTTTACCTATTAAACTGTCTTTATCTTAACCCACAAGTTTTCTCACTTTTACCCTTCTGATTTCTCTCTCCCATCCCAGTGGAGTGGAGTAAGAGAGAAGTGACTGTGTGGGGCTGAGCTGCCGGCCAGGATTAACCCACACCAGCCCTTTTCCTTTCAAAATGCTTAAATGGAAAATGTAAGCTGTGGTCTCAAGCAACATAATGATTTTACTCTTTCTAATAGTGGTAGATGAAGACAAGAAAAGAAACAAACACAGCAGTGTTTTGTATGTAAACACTTAAAATGGATTTATTTTTTAAAAAATCATTTTTACAGTTGGATCATACAGTATTCTTCTGTACGCCTTAAATTAAAAGCCTCCAGCTTTTAAAAATGCTGCCCAGTACAAAAGTGCTAACGTCAAACTGTAGTGTTTATGTATAGAAACCATCACTACACATCACTAAATATCACTCTAAATAGTCTCTTCACCAGTGTCAATGCGTGGAGAAGAGATGGAAGATGAGATTTTGTAAAAAGGCCTTCCTTCTTCCGCTACAGTTCAGTCTTCAGAAGCTTCAGTGCCTTCTGCATATTTGAATACACTAGAAATGAAATATTCATGCATGTTATTTTTACTGCAACTTCCAGCAACTGCAAATGCTGTAGAGAAAATGTCATTATTATTAAAGCTTTTAGTCACATGCCTATTGCTATACAGATTCTGATGCACTCTGCTCTTCCAAGAAGTTTGTGAACATCATGTGTTTTATTTTGACTGGTGAGAACATACATCTATTAGTGCAAACGCATGGGCACTCACAGGACAGAGACAGGAGCTGTGCAGCACAGAGGGAGAGCTGTAGCAAACATCTTTCCCTGCTCCCAGGTTTCCTGACCTGGGCCGGCAGGACGCGTGTGTGAGTCCTCACATTACTTGCAGCGAACACTGCTGAATTATGCAAGTTCCTACTGACATGTACTTGCTTTTAAAACAGACGGATGCTTAAGACTCCAGGGCTCTGGCATCATTCTCTTCACCTCACTGAGTTTAAGTCTAGCATCCTGTTTAATTTTAATCCTTGTTAAATGTCTTTCAGCAAGTACTGATAGCAAGAGTCTGTAATGCCTGGTGCCTTATTCCTTGTTGCATGAAAAATGTAACTGCTTTAAGAATATTTTCAGAATGTTTCAGAACACTACTTACACAGTGAAATGTCAGAGGGCTCGTATGCATAGAGTCGGTTTGAATATCTTCCAGTAATATCTGCTCTCACAGTCAGGGAAGGATCTGGAAAAAAAGGATGAGAGAAGTTGTAGAGGACAGGACTAACCTGCAAGTGGAAAGAAATAAAATCAATCTTTTTGCACTCCTGCTTGCTTTCTAAATGTTTCTGCAAGACATGTCTGCTTCTGCTAACAACCAAGAGACTGGTCTTCTACACAGTACTGTTTCAATTTTAAGTGTTTTGTTTGCAGGTTTATTAGGAACGGGATGGATTACCTGTTCCGGGGACTGTGGCACCCTGTCATGGTGGCATGCTGGAACTGTAAAGCTGGCTGGGGTTACTTTGATGTTTCATCCACAAAACCAACTAGAACCCTTATACTTCTCATGGAATAAATTCCTGTTCATCAGCCCGAGGATTTGAGATGTGTGGTGCAGCAGGGGCTCTGCTCTGAGCTCAGCTTTGATGCTTGAGGTACTCACCTATGAACAAAACGCGAGGGACGTACT